CTAACGAACAATCGGCCGAACGAAAATGGATTTTAGCCGATGTCGTACCTTTTCTTTTGCTTGGAAAAACGGAAATATATGTAGGTGTTATATTCCGTTGTTTCAGATAGGAAACAATTTGACATTCTTTTACGTTTTCAGCTATCCCGCTTAACAGGAATTTCTTAACTCTGTTACGTCTCCGGTCAACACCAATAAACCCGTCAGCAAAGTCACTAGATGGATCATTGATTATTTGCAGAGAATTGTTTTGGGATTTGTTGGTAGGAGATTTTTCAAGTGTGTTGCAGGTATTAAATGCAGGGCTAGATGTCACTACCTCCGCAAAAGTGGCTTGATTGTTGTTTCTTACTTGTTTATTATCGTATTTAATAGAGGTTGCAACTTCTGCTGACACAATAGGATTATTACCATGCTTATGCTTTAGATTGTCATTATCAGTTTCAATGAGATTTAATGGGTTTACCAGGATAACAGGGTCATTAGTCTCGCCCTCGTTTACATTGCACTCACCCCCATTGTTCACCTTGATTGGAATAATCCCATTGTTGGTAGTATGCAATTTATCAATCGTTCGCATATTTTGACCTTTATTACCGATGGGATTTAGGGATTCGGACATGGAAAGCTTATACGGTATTGGTCCAGGAAAACTCTTTCCGTAGAAAGCGCTGTATGTGAAGCATCGCGGTCCAACTATGCTTCAAACGGAGGGTAATGATGCAGAGCATTGGTTTGATTCGGTCAAAGAAAGAGATTTGAATCCAGAACGAAAGAAACAACAAACACACGGGAACTCAAGCTACAAGTGAAAGCTTTTATGATAAAGTGAGAAAAGATTGGACAGGAAAATTTGCTTCTGTTGATGTAGCGTCTCAAAGAAGTTTTATGCAACTTCGACCTCAGCCACGTCCACATCTCTGGCAACGTCTTCATCACCGTCATCAACGATACACCTCTGACCATGGGATGGGCAATCAACAAGGCCACGAGCTACACTTGATTTCCGCAAAAGGTCAAGGATTGACCTAGGCTTGAAGCACCCTATTACGTTCGACACGTATGATTTTTGTGAATATTATCACAAAAAAAGCTTTCCGGTTTCAATGTTCCAATGCTTAAAAACATTCTTTATCACCTTGAAGTTCACTTTAAGTCGAAGGACAAGAAGCAAGTTCTCGTAGACAAACTCAAAAACGTTATCAGCGAGTGGGAATGTGATGTCATGCACTACGAATGATCTGTTAACTTGTATACATGGATCAATGGATCATAACAACTCAGTTTTCGAATCATACTGCCACAAACAAATGGAAAATCTTCTCAGTTTGTTGATCAAGAATTTACTCACAAATTTATACGAAATGAAAGTGAAAAAAAAACCCCGCGAGTTATTAGGAAACCTACAAAATTCATGATCATCGCAGCTAAATATCTTAGGTCTTCTATTAAAGCTCTAGCCATAGAATTTTATTGCAATGTTTCCAATAATTCGTTTTTTCTCATTTCCACCTCGTTTGCAGATTATTCACCCGGTGACTGGAAACGAATCGCAAAAGTAAACAAAACATGTTGATAACTTTACTTCCGCATTCCATATTCCAAGCCGTTTGATGCAATTATTTTGTAATTGATACGTGTTTTGGACCTTAGATAAATTTGTTGTGGTTACCTGATGTCTTTGGCTTCATTTTCCGTTAGAATCAAGGAAGCAAGCTCGTTGTGACCAACAAAATACATGCGAGTTCTACCGCGTTCGATGGATATGTGTATTTTACTGCTTAATTTAATTTTATGAGCTTCGTTGAATAGTTATTTACAAACTTCACGCCAGTGGATAAAATTTCAGCTTATGTGACATTATCTTGGATTAATTAAAATGTCACACGAAGATCAGAACTCTCAACTTATGGGCCGTAATTGCTAGGTAAGAGATTTAGTGATCGAATTACACAGCACTTTGCGACAGCCATACTCTGTGGGTTGGCACTGCATTTTGAAAATTTTGTGATTTGTAGGCGACTGTTATTTTCCCTAACGTCGCATGCAGAAAAATTTGATTCTTGTTTTGAGTTATACGTTATTTATTGTTTCCGTTTACATAATTCAGGCGTTACAGATAGGTGCCACACTTTTAAAATTCGCTCTTGAAGTAGTCATATTTTTGCATTTTGTCGAAAACCAGTTTACATGTTGTAAGCTAATAACTGGTTCTGAAGAATTTCCAGGCGCATTTTCAACAATAATACATCCAGATATTCAGCTATGCAAAATCTATTAACTGTATAAAAACTCAGATTTTAAATTGAAATCCGGTTGTTTTACAGCGACGAGAATATCAGTCACATATTTCCGATTTTCAACTGTGATAGACCAATTGCAAAACTTAGTGACCGCGCCTTCAACTGCACAAGAACGAGGCTTACTATGCAAAAACAAATCATTCTGCTATACTTTTATATGGCGAAAAATGAATTTCAGTGTTTGAGATCCGTTTTTATGGTAATCTCTTCATTTTTTTTCAATATTTCTGTTTTGATTATGTAAATCTTTATTAAACTTGTTCATAGATTTAGTCTTACTTCAAATTTCATTGTTTTTCGCGGCGTGCGAGGCAAAGTTTTGCTGATTTTCGTCGTCCGATAAAAGAAGCAGATTATACCAGAGAAAGAATCAGGTATTTTCCGTCTGTTTTATCATTACATTTCAAAGAATAAGTTGTAACGTTGATTAATTTTGTTTCAGTTGTAATATAATAGCAAGTTTTCGATTTTAACTTTAAAAATATGAAAGTAAATGTCGCACAAAATTTGTAGAAATTTTATGTTATTATCCTTTGACAAAATCTTTTTTCTCGCACAAGTCTAAAAAAATCTGGGTAGAAAGAGTTATATATTAGTTTGTTAAGTTATACTGGCTATTTTATTTGCATCTTGATCAGATTTTAAAGTCTAGATTGATCTTTTCCATATGTTTGTTCCATCGCATGCTAAAACAACAACGAAATATCTCTCCAAAGCGGGTAAAAATATAGTGGGAAATCGATGTCTAGATAAGTTTAACAAATATTTATATAACCTAGCACGAAATATTAAGAAAAAATCAAAGAGATTCAAGAAAAAAACACTTTAACAACCCTAAAATTCACTTTTCGCTATATAAAAATATAGAATAATATAAGCCTCGTTCTCGTGCAGTATGAAGGCGCGGCCACTAAGTTTCGCAATTGGTCTATAATTGAACTTGCCTACTCCTATCTGAGCATCCATCCTGAAAATGTGAAAATGGACTTACGAATGAAATACAACTCGTTTTCGTAATAGTTGTGAGTAGTATAGGGAAGAGGGGTTCTGGCGCTGGTGGATCGGGTGGATCCACCCATGACTTCATAAAACGTATACCGCCAAAGTCATTAACAGTCATTATTATTATTATTATTATTTAAAAATATTTTAAAACGGTAGCTCTTCAGGGCTCGTAGGCACCTGCTTTTCAAGAGGCCGTTTATTACAGTATTTACAAGCTATATAAATATAATAACACAAATATACACACAAAAACAGAGAAAACATAACGAACTTAATAATTGCATGCACTACATTAGTATCTAAAAATATCCTATCCTAATTAAATATTTACAAAGTTACCAAAAGGAATCAAGTGCCGTCAAGAATACGTTTAAATTTGTTAAGGCTAATGCCTTTTTCTTTTGCTGTAGTTGATAAGTCATTCCAAAGGGATGCAGCTGAATAACTGAAGCTCTTTTTCATAAAATTTGTTTCAGGTTTTCCAAGATCATAGTTGTTATTGTTACTTCTTAAATCATATCTGTCATTTATTTTAATTTTGAACATGTTGCAAATTGATGATGGCATTTTTTCGTTTCGTATTCTGTGCATAAAAATCGATTTATTGGTTTTATAGCGTTGGTTTAAAGGTTGCCGGTCTAATTCTTTTAAAACATCCTCAGAACTAACTTCATAAGTTTTACCAGTGATGATTCGGGCCGCTCTGTTTTGTAATTTCTGAAGTCTGTTTTTTAAGTAATCACAACAGTTATCCCAAACCAAGCTACAATAATCAAAATGTGATAGCACAATGGCATTATATATTTTTACTAAGGTTGATTTGGGAGCAAACTGTTTTATTCGTCGCATCATTCCTATTCCTTTTGAAGCTTTTGTGACAATATTTTGGATTTGATGATTCCATAAAAGATGTTCATCAATAATTACGCCTAAAGTTTTTGATTTGTGAACCCGTTTAATGACTGATTCGCCAAGTTCAATTTTAGGGTCCGTTAGAACTAAGTTTGAAATCCGTTGTCTTGAACCAATAATCATGTATTCAGTTTTATCTTTGTTAAGTGTAAGTTTGTTTGCAAGTAACCATTGGTGTATATTTTCTAAGTCCACGTTAATGCGTTCTTGTAGTTCGTCATTTGTTTTGCCATTGGTTGAAACATTTGTGTCATCGGCAAACATGCTTGCTGAAGATGAGGTCAGGCAGTTGGACAGGTCGTTTATATATAATAAGAAAAGAAGTGGCCCAAGATTAGAACCTTGGGGTATTCCACATTTAACTGTTCTTGTCGTGGACATTGTTTGATCTACCTTACATATTTGAATCCTGCTAGAAAGATAGGACTGGAACCAAGCAAGCGTATGACCTCTTATTCCATAACAATGCATTTTTTTTAACAATATATTATGATCAACACAGTCAAACGCTTTCTTGAGATGCAAAAAAATCACTCCATTTAACAAACCCTTATCCATATTCATTAGCCATTGGTTCGTGATGTTAAGTAGAGAAGTTTGTGTAGAGTGATTTTTCCTAAATCCTGCTTGTTGTTCTGCAAGAATGTGATTAGTTTCAAGATAAATTTCTAGTTGCTCTGTAACTAATTTCTCATATATTTTAGCAACTGAGGATAGAACCGAGATTGGTCTATAATTATCGCAATTAGTTTTGCTTCCAGCCTTATGAATTGGAGAAATGATAGCAATCTTGAAGTCTTCAGGAAATATACCAGTGTTTATAGATGTGTTAAAGATTGCTGACAGGGATGGTGCGATTACTTCAGCAGCGTCTCTTAGAAGTTTACCAGGTATTCTATCATGCCCTGCTGATTTGGATGTTTTAATTGTAGAGAGCAACTTATATACCTTAGTTAATGAAACATTTTGTATCGTAAATTGTGTATCGGACCTAGTCACGTATGACTGAAATGTCCTTGAGCTCTGTGGCATGTTG